TTGTCTTGCCAGTACTTTCTGATGACATGCATTGTTCATCTTGCATGAATAATCAATTTTCAACAAGATTCCTTGTGCCTTTTAGCTCCCCCTCAAAAACAACTAATCAGTGAGCATGATGGAACCACCTTTGGATGGCTTCACATTTTACTCAAAATGGTATTCTTGTCAAAAAAAATCGCTATAAATAAAAAAAATCTTGCAGACCCCTTTACAAACATAGCATTTAAGGTTGTGACCATAAAGCTCTATTCTGGTCTTGTCACTCCAGATTACAGTGTGCCAGAGGCTGTGAGGTGTCTCAAGGTGTTTTTGGGCATATTGTAACTGGGCTTTTTTTGTGGCGTTGGCATAGTAAAGGCTTCTTTCTGGCAACTCAACCATGCAGCTCATTTTTTGTTCAAGTATTATCATATTGTGCTCCTTGAAATAACCACACTGTCCTTTTCCAGAGCAGCCTGTATTTCTCCTGAGGTTACCTGTGGGTTTTTATTTGTATCCCAAACAATTCTCCTGGCAGTTGTGTCTGCAATCTTTCTTAGTCTATCTGACCTTGGCTTAGTATCAAGAGATCCTTGAATTTTTCACTTCATAATAAGTGATTGAACAGTACTGACTGACATATTCAAAGCTTTGGATATCTTTTTATATCCTTTTCTATATTTATAAAGTTCCATTACCTTGTTACACATGTCTTTTGACAGTTCTTTTCTGCTGCTCCCCATGGCTCAGTGTCTAGCATGCTCAGTGCATCCACATGAAAGCTAACAAACTCAAAGACTATTTATACACAAACACTACTTGCATTTTAAAAAGCCACAGATGTGAGAAATTACCTTTGAATTGCCATTTTATCCTGTGTGTGTGTCACCTTGTGTGTCTGTACCAAGGCCAAAACATTCCAGGGTAGGTAAACTTTTGATCAGGGCCACCTGGGTGATTTCTGTTATCATTATGATTTAAAAAGGAGCTAAACAACTATGTAATAATAAATGGCTTAATGTGATCACTATCCTTAAAAGACAGTGTTTTGGCATGATCAGTCATATTTTCAATATCAATGCCAAAAAGTCACACTTTTTCTGCCATGGTATGCACTTTTAGGCACAACTGTACTTATTTACAATCAAGTAGATTGGTATCTAAAAGTATACACCAGGATAATGGTGGTAGTATCCTAACACACTGTACTTACGCTCATACAGGTGTTTGCACCATTCTAGCATATAACCAGGTGTGCCAGAAAAGACAGAGTAGTTCATAGAGTGGTGGCAGAACAGAGAACCCATCATACCAAGTGGCTCCTCCTGGGGTAAGCGCTACAAATGCATACTTTGTAACGGGGGAGGACTGACCATTTGGAAACTCGGGCACTGCCCAAGGGCCCGGGGTCACATGTGAGCACAATATACAGTAGATATTTTTCTGGTGTGTGAACGTTAGGGAGGGTCGGTGGGGGATATGTACTGGGAGAATTTGGGTTGGGGGTAGAGAGATCTCTATTGAAGGGGAGGTCAGTCCTGAGGGGGATTTGTGGAGAGGGGGGAGAGCTTTGTACTGAGATGGATTTAGGGGAGCAGGAGAATTTTGTACTGGGGGCATTTGTTTTTGGAAGAGCGGGTACATTCTTTTACTGTTGTTCACACTGGTCTGGTTTTTTTATGCACTCCTGACTGTTTTGCATTCTGTGTTATGCTCTCCTGACCCCTGTGTTCTGGGAGTCATGCACTCCTGACCCCTGTGTTCTGGGAGTTATGCACTCCTGACCCCCTGTGTTCTGGAAGTTATGCACTCCTGACCCCTGTGTTCTGGGAGTTATGCACTCCTGACCCCTGTGTTCTGGAAGTTATGCACTCCTGACCCCTGTGTTCTGGGAGTTATGCACTATGCACCTGACCCCTGTGTTCTGGGAGTTATGCACTCCTGACCCCTGTGTTCTGGGAGTTATGCACTCCTGACCCCTGTGTTCTGGAAGTTATGCACTCCCGACCCCTGTGTTCTGGGAGTTATGCACTCCTGACCCCTGTGTTCTGGGAGTTATGCACTCCTGACCCCTGTGTTCTGGGAGTTATGCACTCCTGACCCCTGTGTTCTGGGAGTTATGCACTCCTGACCCCTGTGTTCTGGAAGTTATGCACTCCTGACCCCTGTGTTCTGGGAGTTATGCACTCCCGACCCCTGTGTTTTGGAAGTTATGCACTCCTGACCCTTGTGTTCTGGGAGTTATGCACTCCCGACCCCTGTGTTTTGGAAGTTATGCACTCCCGACCCCTGTGTTCTGGGAGTTTATGCACTCCCGACCCCTGTGTTCTGGGAGTTATGCACTCCCGACCCCTGTGTTCTGGGAGTTATGCACTCCCGACCCCTGTGTTCTGGGAGTTATGCACTCCCGACCCCTGTGTTCTGGGAGTTATGCACTCCCGACCCCTGTGTTCTGGGAGTTATGCACTCCCGACCCCTGTGTTCTGGGAGTTATGCACTCCCGACCCCTGTGTTCTGGGAGTTATGCACTCCCGACCCCTGTGTTCTGGGAGTTATGCACTCCCGACCCCTGTGTTCTGGGAGTCATGCACTCCCGACCCCTGTGTTCTGGGAGTCATGCACTCCTGACCCCTGTGTTCTGGGAGTTATGCACTCCTGACCCCTGTGTTCTGGGAGTTATGCACTCCCAACTCCTTATATATGCCATAAAGAATGTGTATACAGTTAGTAGACGTAAGTTCTATTTAGGCATGCCCAGGGCTGCTGTTAGAAACCACGGGACCCTGTACAGCCAATGTAACAGGGCCCCCCAAATAAACACAGTTTATTATGCTTCAGTTATGAATGAACACAGTGAGTGATCGCTACCGATCACCATTGTGTTCATTCAGGAAAGGAATTGGCTGGTAAATGTGACACATTTACGACGCTTCCCACACTCTCCATCCTCTTGATCCCATTGTATTCTTGTATCTGCCTGTGGGAAGGAGAGGAGGATAGTCAGCAGCACTGTGGGGGAGGCACACAGGGGTGCTTGAGCAGCATGGAGAAATGTATGATGCACTGGGAGGGTGCTGCAGAGAGAGCTATACAAGGGATCAGTTCCAGTAATTGCCCCCTCGCCCCTGCTGTGCCAGTCACTCTCCCTGCTCACATCTGATTCACCCTGATGCTTGGGTCCCCCTGCTGGTCTGTGCCCCGTACAGGAGGACCAGTGGTACCCCCTTATCCACTGCCCTGGGCGTGCCCCTTTAACCCCTCCACTGTTAAGCACAATTTGGCCACAGCCACTATTCCCCATGTTACTCGCTAGTCCTTGGTCCTCTCCTCTTGGTGTCCTGGGTCTTTTGTAATCCTAGTAATACCCGTGTATCCACCTGCTGCTTCTGCTACTGTTTCTTACTTGGTCTTCATATCCTACCTGTAGCTGTCCCAACAAAAACCTGTCTGCATTATTTTGTTTCATGAGGCAGACATTGTAAACTAAGTGCACATCTCCAGATTGGTCCATACTCCTTTAAAGAGCGACACAGTCCATTCTTTCAGATTGCTGTCGCTAGTGTGTACTTTGTTGTTGTTCTTGTAGTCACCCTACATTTAAATTTAGTGTCCAGTAACCGCTTCCCATCCGCCCTGTAGCAGAAATACTGCTACAGGGCTGCGTGGGTGCACACAATCACGTGTATATATACGTAATTTTGCATTTTCCGGGTAGGGGGCGCGCACGAGCTGCGCACTACCCGTGCCGCCATTTGCGGCAGCGACTGTTAATCACCGGGTCCCGGATGGTAATTACTCGCCAGAGCCCGGTGATTTCTGAAGATCTTCGATGGGGAGGAGGACTGTTTTATTTACTAACAGTCCTCCTCCCTGTCAGTTTGGGCACACACGGCTGTGGATGGCTGTGCACAGCACAGCTATCCACAGCAGTGTGATTACAGTAAAGCACACTGACACAGCCCCCTAGTAAAACACTCCCTGCACACAGTTAATCCTTTGATCGCCCCTCATGTTAACCCCTTCCTGCCCAGTGCCATTAATACAGTGTCAGTGCTTTTTTTTATTGGTGTCACTGTGGATGTCAGTGACACCAAGTTAGTTCCCCCCCAGTGTCCCGCAGTCACACTATAAGTTGCTGATTGCTGCCATTACTAGTAAAAATTAAAAAAAAAAATTCCAGTATATATACCGCTATTTGTAAATGCTATAACTTTCACGTAAACCAATTAATTTACACGTATTGGGTTTTTTTTTTTTCATTAGCAAAGACATGTATTACATTTTGATGTAAATTTATGATGAAATTTTATTTTACATTTTTTTACTGGACATGTTTAACCGTTTCAATACCGGGCAATTTTCCCCCTTCCTGCCCAGGCCAGTTTTCAGGTTTCAGCGCTCTCACACTTTGAATGACAATTGCGCGGTCATACAACACTGTACCCAAACTAAAATTTTATCATTTTCTTCACACAACTAGAGCTTTCTTTTGGTGGTATTTAATCACCGCTGGGGTTTTTTTATTTTTTGCTAAATTAACAAAAAAAGACCAAAAATTTAGAAAAAAACCCACATTTTTCTTTGTTTCTGTTATAAAAGTTTACAAATAAATAATTGTTCTTCATAAATTTAGGCCGAGATGTATTCTGCTACATGTCTTTGGTGAAAATAACCCAATTAGGATGTATTTTTTAGTTTGTAGGAAAGTTATAGAGTTCACAAACTATGGTATAGATCTGAATATTGATCAATCCTGAAGTACTGACAGCCAATCTAATTTCTTGAGGTCCAAGAATGTCAGAACAGTACAGATATCCCACAAATGACCCCTTTTTGCAGAGTAGACAGTCCGACGTACTTCATAAGAGGCATGGCGAGTTTTTTGAAGTTGTATTTTTATGTCATAATTTTTTGGAAAATTAAAAAATTAAAAAAAATTATTTTCACTATTTGTTTTTTTTACATACTGTCACCAGTGCAGTACAGCGTCATCATATAACTGGCATGACGGTTAACAGGGACACTGACTGGTGACAGTATGAAAAAAAAATATATATATATATATTTTTTTTTTATTATATTTTAATTTTTTATTACATTTTTTTTATTTTTTTTTTTTAAGATTTTTTTTCATATTTTACTATGACCAAAGTAGTACAATGTTACCATAGTAACACTGTACTACTTTGGGGAAGTGATCAGTATTTTTTTTTTTTTTTTACACAATTTGCTTATAGCAAAGAATTACTTTGCTATAAGCAAGCATTTACCTGAATGAAATCGATTCATTCAGCTTTTTTCTTTTTTTTTTTTTTTTTTTTTTTTTTTTTTTTGTGCTTAGCTGTGATTTGGTCACAGCTAATCACATGACATGTGCATGTGATTAGCTGTGACCATTCACAGCTAGGCACTAGTATACAATGGATGGCATCATGAATGAAGCCATCCATTGTATACAACTGTCATGTGACCTGCTGTGATTGGTCACAGCAGGTCACATGGTACCAGCAACGAGAGTCGGTACTCGGATCTGTCATCGGCCGTGTCCGAGGTGCACGGCCCGTGACAGATCCCGCTGCTGCGCCGCTCTGCATTACCGCAAACGGCGCATTTGCGGGAGCACGCCAAATGGCGTGCACCCAGAATGAAGAGGCACATCTGAAGCTGCCAAACGGCCATTGGCCGGGCGGCTAATGGTTAATAGCAAAAAGTCAAAAATATAGTTTTTTGCAAAATTGTCGGTCTTTTTTTTAGAGCGCAAAAAATAAAAAAACGCACAATCAAATACCACTGAAATAAAGCACAATTCATGGGAAAAAAGAATGTAAACTTCATTTGGGTGCAGCATTGCATGACCGTGCAATTGTCAGTTAAAATAGCGCAACGCCATAACGCAAATAATGGCTTGGTCAGGAAGGGGGGTAAACCCTCTGGAGGGCAAGTGGTTAAACTTAGTGGTGCTAAGCTGCAGTCAGCTTAGCTGAATTGATAGTTCAGCTTTCTTAGGTTTCTCCTAGGCTCTGGTTAGTGTTTATTTCTGTCTACTGCCAGTAGGTGTCACTAATGCCTCTGGCAATACTATAAAAGGCTGCACCAATCAGAGCTGTAAATATTTATCTCTTCCTGGCTAACTACTAGGAGGGTTATTGCTAGTGGTGCTTGCTGGGAGGTGGTATAAATACTCAGTGAGTGACCTTGGGAACTCAGTTCTCCCCTGCCTAGAGGAGGGATGTGATTGGCTGTTGAATCTTCTTAGTCCTGTTGCCTGAAATGGTAACCATGTGGCTGGGAAAAGGCCTGGGTTCAAAGCCTTGCTTATGTAACCTGGGGATTTAGGAGTCATGGAAGAACTCCAGATGTCTTGGAAGGATGGAAAAACTTGGATTGGAAGCTTGGACCTCATTGGAGTATGGTGTTTTCTCCCCAGGCTGTTGGTAGCTGAATTGATAAGTGCTGTACATTCAGTAGTTACAGTCACAGAATGCCGGAGTGGCTGTAAGGGATACCGAATGGAAAGCACTTCAAGGAATCAGGAACCAGACCAAGTGTGATTAAATATAGTTTATTAATATACATAACACCCTTCCAACGCCAAAGAACCATGAACAAGGTAGAAGTGAAAAATAAATGTGAAAGTGCAGCAAAACCAGAAAAAAAAAAATGGAGAGAGGTCACTGGATGCAGGTTACAGGATCAGTCAAGGACACGGCTCCCAGGCAGAACACTAAGGAACAGATATCATTTAAGGGAGGAATTAGACCTGGTTCACACCTATGCATTTTTTTTTGCAGAAAGGCTCTACAGTCTATTCAACATGGTTTCCTATGGGACATGTTCACATCTATGCTTTTTTCAGCTGATGCATTTTTGGAAACGGTCAGGGACTTTTGTTAATGCATTTTTGGTTCAATAGACTTCAATGGAGATGCTGCAGAAAAGCATGTAGTGCATTTTTGGCGCATTTTGATTAGTTTATGTGTTCTTGATGCGCTTTGTGTTTTTTAATCTGCCCAACAACATATTGGCCAAAAAATGTGTTAAAACGTGTGCAAAAACTCACTGCAAAAAGCACTGCAGAAATGGATCAACAGCAAACTACATACAGTAGATATAAAAAGTCTACACACCCCTGTTAAAATGTCAGGTTTCTGTGATGTATAAAATGAGACAAAGATAAATCATTTTCCACCTTTAATATGACCTATAAACTGTACAACTCAGTTGAACAACAAACTGAAATCTTTTAGGTGGAGAAAAGTAAAAAAATTAAATAATATGGTTGCATAAGTGTGCACATTCTTAAACATACTTTGTTGAAGCACCTTTTGATTTGATTCCAGCACTCAGTCTTGACTTGGCAATATTTGCCCGCTCTTCACTGCAAAAAACACTCCAAATCTGTCAGATTGCGAGGGAATCTCTTGTGCACAGCCCTCTTCAGATTACCCCGCAGATTTTCGATCAGATTCAGGTCTGGGCTCTGGCTGGGCCATTCCAAAACTTTAATCTTCTACTGGTGAAGCCATTCCTATGGTGATTTGGATGTATGCTTTGAGTGGTTGTCATGCTGAAAAAATTAAGTTCTTCTTCATGTTCACTTTTTTAGCAGAAGCCTGAAGGTTTTGTGCCAATATTGACTGGTATTTGGAACTGTTCATAATTCCCTCTACCTTGACTAAGGCCCCAGCTCCAGCTGAAGAAAAGCAGCCCCAAATCACAATGCTGCCACCACCATGGTTCACTGTGGGTGTGATCTTCTTTTGGTGATGTGCAGTGTTGTTTTTGCGCTAAACATATCTTTTGGAATTATGGCCAAAAAGTTTACCTTGGTTTCATCAGACCATAACATTCCCACATGCTTTTGGGAGACTTCAGATGTGTTTTTGCAAAATTTAGCCAGGCTTGGATGTTTTTCTTCGTAAGAAAAGGCTTCCATCTTGCCACACTACCCCATAGCCCAGATATATGAAGAATACAGGAGATTGTTGTCACATGTACCACACAGCTAGTACTTGCCAGATATTCCTGCAGCTCCTTTAATGTTGCCGGAATCCCCCAAGGCGTGGAATCTAAGCTCCGACCTGCTTGTTCACCAGGGCCCCTGATGGTGGGGATGGACTTGGAGCAGGCCGAGACCAGGTCGCGGCCCCTGGGTTCACCCAGCTGTGGTAGAGGCACCGTAGAAGGTGTATAGAGTCTGATGTGAGGCGGTAACTAGAGCAGCGTTGGGCAGGCTTGGTCGGTAACAGTGGTTGCGGTGTAGTACAGAATCAGCAGGCAGAGGGATAAACAGGTCACAAGCCGGGTTCGTCAACAGGAGGTCAGAACGTGCGGGGATAAGCAGGAGAATGGTCAGACAAGCCAGGGATCAGGACAGGAGACGGACAGCCAATCAGGGTCAGGCAGGGTCGGCAACAAACAATCTACTCTCAGGAACTCAGGAACACAGATAAAACCATATGGCATTGCAAGAGCCGGGTTTAAATAGCCCGCCCGACTCCTGTCAGGCGCTCCTGGGTCCTAGTGCTTGTCCGGCGCCATCATTGGTGACAGGCACGCCTGGGTCCTAGTGCCCGCCTGCCTGTATGTTTTGTCAGGATTCTACGCATGTGCAGATTCAATCGCCGTGGCAATCTTCTCATTCCCTGACAGCTATATATATGCAATTTAACTGAATTACAGCAATAAATCAAGAAGGTTCAGTTGGGCTTTAAAGCCCATCTTCAGCTTTAATTGATTCAAAAATAAAAGTATACATACCTGTTTTCCAGGGGTCTTCTGACTGGTCACATGACATCTTCTTCTTGTCCAGAACTGGGCTGTGGGAGCTCCGAAACAAAAAAATCCTCACATAGTGATATAATTACATAGTTAGTCTGACTGAAAAAAAAAAAAAGTCCATCCAGTTCAACCACCAACCATTAAAAAAAAAAGTTATAATCCTACACCCACAGTTGATCCAGAGGAAGGCAAAAAAAACCCAGCAAAGCATGATCCAATTTGCTAATTCAGGGAAAAAAATTCCTTCCTGATCCCCCTAGAGGCAATCGGATATTCCCTGCATCAACTTTACCTATAAATGTTAGTATCCAGGTATATTCTGTGTATCCAAGAAAGAATCCAGGACTTTTTTAAAGCAATCCACTGAGCTGGCCAGAACCAACTCTTGAGGGAGTCTATTCCACATTTTCACAGCTCTCACTGTGAAGAAACCTTTCCGTGTGTGGAGATTAAATGTTCAGTGCAGTCATACTGTGAGCCCAGTATAACAGGATCTCACACACCAGGGGGTGTGCTCATATCCTTGGAGGTGTGTCCATGACAGCCTAGGCTCAGAGGAAGTGGGCTGAATGACACTGTCTGTCGTTCAACCTTCCTAGTGAAGTAGAGGACATTCATTGGGAGACATCACCAGATTGAAGGTGACTATTGCAGAGAACGTTGTTCATATATTTATAATACTGCTGGCCTGTTTCTTTATTTAATTGGTGTTCCATTTGAAGAAGTGACAGGTTCACTTTAAATAATTTTACTAAGGGAAACAGACTTAAATGACAGAAAATCCTTTTTTTGGGCATGTTTACCGATTTTCAAAAATGGGCTAATGGTTACTGAAGACACTGACTATTTTTTGTTTCCCTACTGAATGTAGGACTCGTCTTTAACAGCTGTGCAGCAAATGCCTGTAGGCAGGAGACTAATGCAAGGAGAATTATCCTTTTTATTGCAATCACTCTTTTTTATTCTTACATCTCTTCATAAATCACTTTTTTTCTGTTACAGTGATAAAGACTGCAAAGCGACAGAGAGAGGGAGACTTATTGTAATTTACTAGTTAATTCTTATATTAATCATCAGTCAAACGTTCAGGCCCATTGTCGAAGGCAAAGCAGACAAGTATAGATGTCACGAAGAGATTAAGGGAATAAAGTTTGTCTGGAATCGACAGCACTAAATCCTATTAATGTGGATTTACTTATGACATTATTACATAAAGGGAAAATCTGGATGGCTCTGTATACTGTCTTGAATGAGAGTATTCTGCCATAAAAAAAGAATCACAATTAGGGAAGCGTTTCAAGTGTGTCACTTTAATAGGTGCAAGGCAAATCCTGAAGGCTTGGGATTTGCTGTCTTGGTGAATTTATGGCAGATTTTGTGGGGCCACATTTGTTTCACTTAAAAAAAAGT